GAAAAAATATGAGAAAAGGAAAAAAATGGAAACAAAATCTTTGTAAATAGGGAAGGGTGGAGTGGGTGAAGGGAGGGCAGTGGAAGGGGAAAAAAATAAGAACCAAGATACTCATGTAATGGTACAAGATCCCAATGATGTCTGTAAATGTATTTTATACCTAAAATGTACCAATAAACTTAATGGGGGGGGATACTGTTTTATAACATTTAATCACACCAAAAAAGAAAACTCACACCCAAACACCCATCTTCCTTGTCCTAGGCAACCACTAATCTTCTTTCTGTCTCTGTAAAATTTACCCATTCTGAATGTATCCTACAATCATGTATTTGGCCTTTTCTGTCAGTCTGCTTTTACAGTAGCACATTACTTTAAGATTCATCCATATTATAATTTGAATCAGTATTTACTCCATTTTATAACTCATTAAATGGGTTATTACATTTTGGCTGTTCATTAGTAAATGGACTTTTTGGACTATCTCCATATTTTGCCTCTGATGCATAATGCTTTTATGAACCTTTCTAGACATGTTTTTTTATGAACCTATGTTTTCATTTCCCTGGAGTATATAGCTAGGAGTGGCATTGTTGGCACATACAGTAACTCTTTGCTGGGACATATATAACTCTTTTCTTTGAGAAATAAAGCAGCTGTACGATTTTTCATTGCCACCAGCAGCATTAGGTGGTTCCAATTTCTCTGCATCCTTGCCAACACTTGTTAGTTATTATCTGACTTTTTAAATGTGGATATTCTGATGGGTGTGAAATACAATCTCAGTGCGATTTTGGTTTCTCATGACTAATGATACTGAGCCTGTTTTATGCACTTACTGCAAATGTACAGAACTGCTTTAGAAAAGTGCCTATTCAGATCCTTTGCCCATTTAAAAAAATTTTTTTTGTATTGACTTATAAATATATTGGAGGTACAGTTCCTTATTGTATGTATTATTTGCAAATATTTTCTCCCATTCTGTGGTTCTCACTTTGGTGTAGTGTCCTTTGAAGCATGAAAGTTTTTAATTTTGATGAAAGCCAATTTATATTTTTTCTTTTTATTCTTTGTGCTTTTGGTGTCATATCAAAAAGTTTATTGCCCAGTCTAAGGCCAGCAAGATTTGCCTCTGGGTTTTCATCCAGTAGTTTTTATAATTTTAGCTCTTACTTTTAGATTTTAGCGCATTTTGAGTTAATATTTTGTACATGGTGTAAGGGCCAGGGGGAATACAGGCTTTTTAACTTCAAAAATAAAACCAAATGTGCGGTAGATGTAGCTCAGTGGTAAAGCATTTGCCAAAAATGGACCAGGGTTGGGGAGGTCAGTCTGAATTCAGAAAAGGGGAGAAAATTGTTTTTCAAGAGTGGTAGAAAATAGATGAAATAAGATTGCCAAAATACTAATATTTTAAAAGCTTTTGTATATAGCATTTATCATGCTACTTTTCTGTGTAATTTTTGCTTGAACATATACATGATACAGTATTTTTCTACGTATCATTCTGTTCTGGTTTCTTACCACTTTGGGGGACGGGTGCTGGAGATTGAAACCAAGGCCTCACATGCTAAGCATGTACTCTACCACTGAGCTTTATCCTCAAGTCCTTACCATATCAATTGCATTGGCCTTTCATCTGTGTACTTAGCCTGGCTTGGTGTTGGAGTATTATTAGATGGTCTGAAGTACAAAGTTTCATGAAAATTTTATTTGCAATAAGAAAAACCATACAGTTAAAATAAATTAATTTTTTAGTCTGAGGTCTCTATTGATTTACTCAAAACTATTCTGTTTAGCAGTATTTTAAAATGTGCTGTATACACATTTATGAAAAGTTCATGGATATCTATGAGCACTTTTCAAACTTGTGTTGAGAACTAGCTATTCTGGAGGGAGGAATATTGTCTTTTATTCCAGTTAAGCTTGCAGTTGAACAAAGTTAAACAGATTTGCTTACCACAAGGCTTCCCAGGACCTTTTAATATGCAAACATAAATGATAAATCTTTAAGATTTGGCAAGCACTGCTTTTTTAGAAGCTTATTTCACCACTAATCTACCATGGAGTAATTTGGAAAACACTAGGCTACATATATAAAATCATGTTGTCATGCAAACACAGTTAAATAGCTTAAATTGTCATTTGATTATCATCCCAGTGTTATCATTTCTTATATCTCTCCTTAATGCTAAGCTCCAACTTCTTTTCCTCATATAATTATTTTAAAGTTTTAAAATTTTAATTATTTTATGAAGATTTAAAAGTTGCTACATTGTTTCTTTGTGTAGGTGTGGATTTTTAAGGTGAATAGAAAATATTTTCAATTAACTATGCCTTTAAAATTTATTACTTTGTTATTTTAACTAATAGTATTTGCAAAAAGGAGAGCAATTAGAAAATTACAACTATTAGGTAGATTCTCTTTAATTGAATCTTTATTCCAGAAAATTAGTAAATACAGCTAAAGTCTACTCAAAGATAATCTCAGCATCTCTTTTTGTTAAATGTAATGTTTAAACATTTTTTGAAAGACAATAAAATCCTCTATATTTACTCTCAAGCTGACTTTTCCTCTCCCAAACCTTTAGAATCTTTCTCCTCAAGTAATCAAAGATTAGTTTTATATGCTCCTTTTAAATTTGTTTTTTGAGTATGCTTTGTTGTTGTTTATATTTATGATGGCAACATAACATTTATAACCTAGTTTGAACTTCAGTGTTTTTCACTTGGGATAATTTTAGGGTATAAGTGTATGAGGATCATGAACATACAGATTGTGTCTACTGGATATATTGTTAATGTTTTGTTGTGTTTTGTTCCATCTGTAGAAGTAATACATGATCCTAAGGTCAGGATAAGCCTTCCTAGTACACCTCGAAGTTCCTAACTAGAACATTTTAGTATTTTAATATTTATTGTAGTGACTTAAATCCAGATTTAAAATCCTTTCAGGACTATAACGAGTTCAGGGGGGGAAGAGTTTGTTTTGTGTTGCTTTGCTTTACAAATTTGTAAACTTACATTAAGTCCAGTCAGAATATAAAAAGTAAATTGTGATCTGAAAAAAATCTCCATTGTAAATAATTACACAAAAGCCACCAGGACCTAAATAGGATTTTAATTTGCATTCTGGCAAACATGAGTCAGAAGTAAGTAAGCAAGCCCCATGGAGAAGGCAGTCTTTTGTTTTTTGTTTTTTGTTTTGGGTGGGGTGGGGGGGCTGGCTTGTACCAGGGATTGAATTTAGGACCTTGTGCTTACAAGGCAGGCATGGTACCACTGAGCTAAATCCCCGGCCCAGGAAGGCAGTTTTTAATGTGTCTGGACTCAGAAAGCATTTTTCTTCCACTCCTTAGGTAATGTGTATATAAGAATGTTAATATTTTCTTGGGGATACACTTTTATTTTATTTTATTTTATTTTTTTGTATTAAATTCTTTTATTGGTACATTGTAGGTATACAACACAATTACATTTCTC